GACCCCCTGACTCCGCCCCGGGGGTCCGCTGTGGTCTGGGCCGACCCCCTGACCCCGCTGCCATGACCCCGCTCCAGGATGCCCGAACAGGATGGATATGCCTCTGGTAAATTGGTCATAACTCCTTCATTACATCTTCAAACGACTTGAAACCACTTCCATTAGAAAGCTAACTCAATTTTAGGTGTCTCCACAAAATCTTAGCAACAGAAGATTTCTTTAAAGGCTCCATCCATGCTCATCTTTCAGCTCCTTTTGGATCACAATGCTCCTAAACATCTCAAACCACTCCATGGCACATTCCAACACCTAATAAGGAAAATGAATGCAAAATGCAACCTAGAAATGGCTAAATCCTAATCTATATGATGAAAATGCTCATGGATGAATGGGTAAAACAATGCAAATATGCAAGATATCAAAATCCTTTTAGGGGATATATGCTCCCACCATATGCAGCTCGTAGGGTAGAAATCCCATACGCGGGTGCGACTAACGATTCTACAGCAATCTTCGCTTTCAAGGCAGCAGCAATGGCATGGGAGCATGGCATCGCTAGCTTTTGAAACTGAAAGCAGGTACACGTCTTATTGAAAAAGTTGACATGGAATCCACCATCATCTACCTGACGGACTTCATACTCTTCCTCAGCTATATCAAGAACTTCATACCCACCAGACATGTCAAAATTTTTAGAAAGAAGACCAAACACCTTAGGATTTAGCTGAGATTGATGTCTATTCCTCTTGGCTATTTCAGGACGACTTGCAAACCAAGGCATCAGTTTACTACGGATGAATTCAAGCAATCGTATCAGAGGTAATTCCCGGGCCTCACGCAAAACTCTGTTCCACGATTCCGCAAGATTGCTAGTCATCACATTGTAACGGTTCCCTCTGAAATGAGCTCTAGCCCAATGGTGAAGACCAATGTCTAGTAGATAATCGGCACATTTCGGATCAATTCCTTGTATCTGCTTGAACGTTTCGTTAAATTCTTCAACTCTAAAGCACCTTGCAGCTTTTGCAACGAGATACTCCAGTTGTGTCCCCTTAAAATTTGATCGGATGTTTCTTTTCAAATGGACAATACAAATGCAATGACCAGCTGAAGGAAAAACCTGCGCATAGGGTATAAACGATGTTAGACAAATAACTTTTTCAACTCAAACTAAACCTAAGCAGTAATGAAGTATACTTGTTAATGTATATCCTGCAATAAACGACAGTTTTACATTGCTAACTCCTTTGAAAATGGATGGGTGTCTATCAGACACAAACACCAACTCCTCTGAATTTTTCACAAAATGTGACAGCTGTCTTCAAAACCACTCCCATGATAAGTCTGTTTCTCCATCAACAACTGCAAAAGCCAAAGGGAAAATTTGGTAATTGCCATCCTAAGCTGATGCCGTGAGTAAACAACCACCATACTTCCCTTTTAAATGTGTCCCATCAACCACCACCACTTTCCTCATATCGTCGTATCCTTTCATAGAAGGATCGAACGCAACAAATAAATATTTGAACCGGGGACCTCCGTTGTCGTGTGGGACTGTCATTAGTTCAACTTTTGTACCAGGATTCGCGGTGACAAGCTTGTTCAAATAGTCTGGGAGCTTTGCATGCCCGGTCACATCCGATTCATTCGTGTTCTCCATTGCCACATCTCGGGACCTCCAGGCCTTCCAGTATGATATATTAACATGTAGATCACCCCTCATTATTTGACGAATCTCACGCGCTTTTGGACCTGCTCCAGATGTTCCAAATTTGTTTTGGAGAATCTCACCAATAACTGCGGTTGTTGCTTGTGTTTGGTATCCACCACGTTCATCTAGTGAACACCGATGTTCAGGAATTACCTTGCGCACTTGAAACACCTCAGCCTCTTTCAACCGGATTGCATATACCCGCCAAGGGCAGGTACACGGGCTGCTACATTCCAGGGACATCAAACCGGGTTCAGACTTTGCACACCTGAATCTGAACTTCATGCTGATTGCGTATACAGCCATATGCTTCCTGAAAGCATCTCTTGAACTGAATAGCATACCCACGGCGATATCTTCAGTATTCTCACCAATTTCACCTACACAAGTAAAGTTCACGATTTTACTGATAATTAGTTTTTCAAATTATTTTATCAATTTGAAAAACTAAAAGGAACACTTACAACATAACTTTCAAGGAAACGATATTCTAAACACGATTCATGGACTTGTGGCAGCCAACTCGGATAAATAATTATTCAATCATTCGTACAAACGTACATATACCATAAATCAAGTTTCCAAGTACACTTGCATAACAAGTATATTACATATAACCCCCACCCCCTTTCGAATACAAATTACAATAAAGGAAACATGTAAGTCTAGCTGGTTGTCATTTTCTCTAAGTCAACCAAACGATATGTTAGCCGGATAATTAAGTTATATGACCTTTAGGCCACCCCAGGATAAAAGGAGTTCAACAATTTACAATTCAGCAGTCTTTCACATAATCATCCAACAACTATGAAATCGTTTATTAACAATTGTTATCCAAGTAAGATGATGTATTTGAAGGCTATTAAGAAAGAATTGTCAACTCTTTTCTCCAATATCAGAACCAATACTACAGAAACAACTTCATACCTTTCGAACATATACTATATTAAACATTAGTGTCGATTACATGCTTCTTACACTACCCCGTTCCATCTTACATTATAGGACTAACCAAACCGTAGCCAGCTACACTATCCATTATCACACAAAATAAATTAAGAAACCGGCTACTGAATAGTTTGGCCCCTTCCAAGATCCTTCAAAATATAAAAACGCTGATTCCCTACACATGTCAGCATCATCAACCGTTAATGAACCTAAATACTAAAACCCTCCTTCATGCAGTTTCACCAGAAAAACCAAAATACGATGCATGGATTCCTACTACGATAAACAAACTGAACTCAAAACCAACCATCAGTAGCACTTTCTTCTGAGGAACTTTCATTGCTTGTCCTTTGCTTCCCCCCCCCCCCACTTGTACGTAGCGAGATGGGCCCGCCTGCGTGAGGTTAAATAGGTGGGCACTTGTGTGCGGGGCTGCGCTTAGAGCCATCGGTGAGGGTAGAAGTTGGAGTTCGCGAGTACTTGTTTTCTCTTCAGGATTTACACCTAAATCAGAAGACACAGGCATAATCAGTTAATGTAATCATGTTTAAATAGCGAATTAAAACACAAACATATGAGAAGTGACTATTACCGATAAATCTCCACATACCTTCCGTACCATTATTAGTGGAGATGATGTTATTCCTAACATCATACGGGCAATGAGTTGTCATAGAACCGACTACATTAACCTCAGTTTGTGGCAGATTCGGCACTGTCGGCACGGTGTTCTTAGTTGATCCACTTGATGATCCCCCGTTTTCTCCAATGTTCATCTACATGTCAACCCCCACAGTTGGGACGCTTATGTTGACGCCATGGATGTATGAAGGATCAAGGGGGACAATGGCTTCTTCATTTTCCATGGATGGTTCCAACGGAGCATTTATGTTCATCCCCTGATCTATTTGGTTACCTGCAGTTATCAGTTCTTCCCAGAACTTCATGCTATTTGCCATAGCCTCAGGGTCAATATGAGTCGTGTGCTGCGAGTGATAGCTTAGCATATCCATTCCAACTTCCCATAGAATGGATGGCGCATGTTCGGCAGGGTTGTTGTTCGTCATCGGGTTCACAGGTTCCTGGTTATCAGGTTCCTGGTTTGTAACTGTAATAATAATATAACAAGTTAGTACATCTAAGGTTGGAAAAAATTTTGATAAATAAATGTATGGAGTATGATTGTAGAGTTCAGGTTAGAAATCTTACCACCACCAGCGTTACTCGGTTCACCAATAAGACGATGGCAAGTAGTAGCATCAACCATGACATCATCATCATCTTCCACAACTATAATCCCAGTTGTCCCAATGTTATTGGGTGCGATCTGTGGTTGGCTCTGGTCTGCAAAAGCCATCTCGCAGGTCACTCAGTGGAAGAGCATTAAGGACTCCTCACTGAATAGCGCATTCATAACTTTCTCCGTTTCCTTCTCTCTATCCCCGTAAACAAGCTCTATAAAATTGTAACCACAATTCCTTAGTCATGAAACACTGTCTTCCAAATGGTAATATACATAATAATTTTCTAATATACTTACTTTCGTATGCAGCTCTGTCTTCTTGAGTTTGTGTGTTGTCAACTACATAAGTCGTAGTTCCAATGTGGAAAGTTTTACGGCAAAGGAACTTCCGCAACTCTCTTTGGACCAATGCTGACAAGTAAAGCCATATCTGAGATTGTAGTTCGGACATTAAGCAACACACAAAGGTCTTCTGTGGTGGTTATCGTTGTTGGAGGAGTTTTGTAGGCGATTGCAGACAACATCCAGCTTGGAAGACGAAAGGTTAGCACCAGTGGAGTTGTCTCGCGTAAAGAATAGTGTGTCCTGACCATATCTTCAATGGACTCATATGTTGCATCCTCGTTGATCAGAACTCTTGTTCCAATCTCACCCATATCAGGGTGGAAATGCCACTCGTCCGAAGCAGTCTTTTTCCATTCTCCCCTCCAAAGCTTCACAGTAATCGGCATCTAAATGACAAATAAATAATACAAATTAGGGGTCCGAAATTTCGATTCACTAAAATAAGCTTGTGTTGAGCTCAATAACAAGATAACAAAATTTAGGGTTTTGAACAATAAATACAAAATTTCAATGCAACAACGGTCTTACATCATTAAAAACAAAGATTGAGTAAAGCTTACGACTTTCCTAACTACGTAACCGGTAAAAATCATTTAATGAATACGGGTAAGGAAAAATAAACTTTCTCAATCAACTTTAAGGGGTCGCACTACCTTTCCAACTCAGCTGAAAGGTCCCGATATGGATTGAAAAAAGGTGACAGAATCTCTTTTTTTTTAAGCTTGTGACCAAAGGTCCGAGAAAGCGGATCTGATGAAGGTTTACAGGTTACTTGTTTTTATAGAGGGACCGGATAAGGAAGACGAAGGATCGTCTATGCTTACGGTGTCGTTATATGTAAAGGTTTTAGATTTGTCTTGGATACGATATCTCGGCGCCGTATGTGTCAGTTAATAGACGGTCGAGATTTAATCCCTCATGATACAAAATCTAGTAGCCTCCTCGATATCGGTAAATAATCTCCACAATATATTTACTAAATCCATAAAAATCTTCCCAAATCTCCATAGATTATTACGTAAGCTTATCTCAAACAGAGAGAAGGAGTATTTCGTAATTACACGACTGAAAAGGTATACATTGGGCCCATTAAAAAATTCGGTAAGGCATTTGCCTAATTTCCTCATTACTATCGTATATTGGCCTCATTCACTCTAAAAACATTTAATAAAAACATTTAATAAATATTATAACTTTAAAATATTCCAATGGTATCCTCCTATACATTAAAAGAGAAGTCACTTGGACACGTGTCACTCATACATGCCTTCTCAGAGAAATTCTGAGAATCTGATTGGTTGATTAAATTTAATTTTCTTTTTAATTTATTTTTTGTTTGGCGTGCGAGTGTTAAGATTTATATATGAGAATCGTATCTCTAAAATTTAATGTAGGTTATTTACTTTCCTTACCTTATATCCGATAACTTGTGTGAGAAGTTGGAAATTCAATGCCAAATATATCAATCTCATACCATTAGGAAAGCTTGACAATATATATACGATGTCCCTTCTTTGAATCTCAGACATTCATCAAAATCTTCGTTACAGCTTCTCCTTCTTCCAAAGATTAATCAAAAAGGTCTGTCTTTTTTAATTTCTAAGTTAGGGTTCTTGATGTAGCAATAGATCGGATGTTAATCTTTGGAAGCAATACGAAGGGCTTCATTCCTTAATTGTTTTCTTGATTCTGATGTATTTATAATTTTATATGTATATGGAACCCTCTCTCTCTCTTCAGGTACATCCAGAGCACATGTGCCACTTCAGGGAACATTACAATAACTCTCACATCTCGTGACTGATCTCTTACCAGGGCTTTTTTTTTTGTTTGTCTATGAATCGAAACAGAAACTTGTGGATGATGAGGTGGTGAAGGTGAAAGGGTTTGCGAAAGACAGCAATGTTGCTTTCCGTGAAAGGCTTAAGATCGTGGCTGGACTTGTTAACCCTGAGGATCTAGCTCTAGGCTCGACTGAAAAGAAGCTTGTACATGCTTACAATGAAAAGCCAGTCCTCTCTCGTCCTCAACACAACTTCTTTAAGGTTTTTAGCACCACACTAACCCTCTTACACTCACAACAGAAGAAGAAGAAGAAGTCAATCTTGTAACAGCTAACTAAGATTTGCTTTTTTTATCTCTCCACAGGGTCAAACTACTTTGAGATTGATTTGGATGTCCATCGATTCAGCTACATATCACGTAAAGGACTTGAAGCATTCAGAGAGCGGCTGAAGAATGGAATTCTTGATCTCGGCTTAGCCATCCAGGTACTGATCAAAGCTTCATACAATGTATATGTAAACGGGATTAGGACTAGAGGATCTTTTGTTCTTTGTTATAATACATTTTTAAACATTTGCTTTCTTACACGAAACAGGCTCAAAAACCAGAAGAGCTGCCTGAACAAGTCTTGTGTTGTCTGAGGCTGAGCCAGATTGACTTTGTTGACCGTGGTCAAATCCCAATGCTACTAATCCCTGAGGAAGGGGAAACTCTGGTGTAAGCGTTATCATCTTTGTATACTCTCAACTCCTTTGGATGAAGAAACCAAATAATAAAAGTGTGTTAATTCATCAAAGTTACTGTATATTTTCCAAATTATGTGGTCATCTATATTTCTATTTTATTTATTTATGCTATATAACTTATATGTAACAACGTTGATAATGCAAAACTCTTGAAGTCATCTTCTCGAGTTTGGCCTTCTGTTGTAACTTTCTACTCTGTTACCTCAATGATATTTTTATTATGATACTATACCTTACGTGTTATTTTTTTTACATTTCTCTAACTGAACTTTTAAGAGTTGATTTGCTTAAGGGTAAGAGAAGTTAGGTAAATAACAATGAGTCAATGATACATTATTATCACTTTTGAAGTTTATACAGACAGTAAAAGAACATACATGATCATAGTAACATAGAAGAAACTCACACTTTTGTCTCATAAAAATAAGTTGATGAGACAGCCAAACCTTCATGGTCATATGTACGTACGAGTCTCTGTCTTGAACCTGACGATTCAAGCCAGCAGAATTCTAAATGGAATGACTTCAACTCAGCAACACTCTTTGCTACGTCGCAGGGACATCCCATGTACATACCACCTGGTAAAAGAGTCATTTGATTTTGTGATCGTTGTTATAACTTGTGTAAGGAGGGAGGGGCCTCTTGTACGTAGAACACAGAAACTACCTTATTACATAATAAACATTAGCTTGTTATCCAAGATTTACTCTACTGCTTTCTTTGTCACATTTTACTTTTGCTTTTCAATTCATGTAAGTTGAAACTGCGGCTACATTTGATTGATACTAATAGACATCATTGGCATCGTTCATGTGCTATTGATATGTGTTTGTGCTATATTAAAACTGTGTCCAACTGTAAGATAAATAAATTTAAATTATGATTTTCAAAATATCAAATGACTCATGGACTATTAATGGTAGATATTCAACTTTCCATTTTCGACTAGGAGGATAAAAATATAGTATACGCAATAAATGGTATATATTCAACTTTACTTTTAAATGGTATGTTAATTACTGTAATTTTTTGACAGTTAATTTTTAATCTGAGAAGGTTAATTGCTTCATGTTTATATAAAAAGAAACAAATATTACAAGAACCATAAGACTTTATATATCTCAAGAAATGTCTTTACAAGAATTTTTATAAAAAG